CAGCCGAGGAGATCAACACCAAGGAGGTAGCGCAGCGCATCACGGCGGAGCTGAAACGCTACAGCATCCCGCAGGCCATCTTCGCGCAACGCATCCTGTGCCGGTCGCAGGGCACGCTCTCCGACCTGCTGCGCAACCCCAAGCCCTGGAGCAAGCTCAAGTCGGGCCGCGAGACCTTCCGGAGGATGTGGAAGTGGCTGCAGGAGCCGGAGTTCCAGCGCATGTCTGCGCTGCGCCTCGCAGGTAGGAGCGCGCCACACAGCACCCGCCTGGCGGGCCGCTCTCCATTCCGCGGCCGTGCGCCCTACTGGCCCGGGACCCTTCTGGAGGGCAGAGCGTGGTCGGCGCCCCTCCCCTGGCTGTACCTTCGCCAAAGGGGACTGCGCCGTCTCCGTTCCCCTCCCCCAGCCGTCAGTCCTCGCCTAGGGGAACGGGAAGGGGGTCCCCCAGCCCTCTTAGGCTGCTGGGCGGCGCCCCAAGCGGCCCCCAGTGTGGCTCATTGTGTGTGTATGTGTGTGTGCGCGCGCGTTGTGGAGGGTCTGCTGTGTCCCCGGACGCGCCGCTGCTGTCAGCTTGTGGTGCCACACCCCTCCTCCTGCGGGAAGGGGGCCTCTGCGCCCCCAGCCCGGCCTGAGAGCTCCGCTGGTGCGCCTCAGAGACCAGGGCCAGGCCGGAGCTCAGCCCTCGGCCCAAGGCGCGCTTCTTTGTAGCTCTGCCCCCGCGATCAATAGCCATCTCCCCCCGCGGTCCGGCCGCTGGCAAAGGTCACCCGTGAACGGGCGGGGGAGGGGCAGCCCCGGGGACCCTCGCCCGCGCAGCCTGGAGGCCTTCACACCCGGCTGGCCGGCCGCCGGGTCCCTCGCTGGCTCGGCGCTCGGGGGCGCGCGGCCCCGCGGCCAGCCTTTTCTGTTTTCTTTCTCCTCCCTCCCTGTCTCCTCTATCCGGTCAAGCAGCTATCGATTTATTTTCCTCTTCGCGTTTTTCTCCACATTCTTCCTCCTTCTCTCTATGGCTCGCTCTTTCTGTCTCTGTGTCTATCTCTGTTGCTCACGGACATTCGGCTACTGGCCCCCTGGGGACCCTGCTCCTTCCTCCCTTCCAGCTGACAACAGCTGGGTCTATACCTGTCCCCAAAGAGGCGGCTGGTCATGCCTCCCCATCTCCTGGGTATGTGTGGTGGGGGGTGCGGGAGAGTGTCTCCAGCGACCTGGCCAGTGTAGGGGGTCTTTCCCTGGACGCGCTGGGGAGGGGGCTGCGCGCCCTGGCTGCGGGGACAATAGCCGCGGGCTCTGGATCGATCGATCGCTTCTCCCGGCGCACAGGGGCAAGCGGGGCGGGGCGGCTGGGCTCTGCCAGGCGCCCCTCTAAAAGGGAGGTGGGAAGGGAATTGGCTGCACCCCCAGCCCACCCAGCCAGGCAGGGGGCGCTGAAGAAGGGGCACCAGTGGGGAGACGCAGAGGGGTCCCGTATTCTTCCTACTTGAAGGAACCATCCCCTCCTCCAGCGCCAGGCCAACTGAACAGCCTCGGGGTGCGAGAACGCTCCTGGGGGCCTCGATTTCCCCGTTCTGCAGAGACAGGGACTGGCTGAAGCCTCCTATGGGCTTCTTCGATTACCCACTTGGAGTCATTGGCAATAAAATCTTTGTGGTATATGGCAGGTGATGAAGTGTTCAGGGAGGCTGTGGTGACATACTAGAAACAGCTTACGGAACCTGGACGGGTTCCCTGTGAGGGGCGACCCACCCCTACCACGACACAGGTAATGGCACGCTTGTGTTCATGGGGGAGACTTGGTCCTTTGGATCCACAGCCACCACCTGCAATTTGCCATCAAGTGGTAAAAACACACCGTGGACTGGCTGAAGGTACGGCTCCCAGCCTCCATACAGGAAGTGGCTTCTTAGGCAACCCATTAACAGGGCAACACGAGAGACACCTGTAAATATCACCATACCAGCCACCTTCCCTTTCTCCCCAGAGCTTAGGTTTTGGGGGACATTGTGTCCACCATATGTGTGCCCCAAAATAACCACATCACGCTCCACGTTCCTCACTGTCACCTTATGTAGCTAACATGACCTATGAGCGGTATTTAAATCACACATTTTGTAACGCATTGTCCACAGAACAGCAAACCGCAGGTGAGAATCCCCTTGGGGTGTCTGCTGCGGGTGAGGAGTCCCTGCGTGGCTGGGGACCCGCCTGGCCCCTCGCACATCTCACGACCACGGCCTGTGTTCTCTCGGCCCAGGACAATGTCCAGTCAGGCGCGCACTGGCCTTATAGTTACCTTTCCCGCCCCCGGGATCTTTAGAGACATAGAAACTGAGGCCGCTAGCGTCCCAGAGCGGCTACTCCGTGACTTCTGCGACTCTGGGTCACGGGTTTCCCCTCTTCCAGACTCGGTTTCCCTTTTGGGAAATGAGGTTTCCGCGCCTTGTGGTAACTTGGGAAGAACTAGAGTAGGCACGTGCCGCCTGGCCAGGGAGCAGGAGCCTTGGCGACCATGAACCTGGTCTCGGGGCTTGTCCTACTCTCCTCTGGACACTGCCCAGGCCACTTCCGGCGCCTGGCCGCGCACCGGACGCACTTCTGGCGCGATCTGGGCCGTGTCTACACTGCCTGGCTCGGCCTTGGAGTCGGGGGTGGCAGGCGGAGAGCCGCGGTTAATTACGCGCCGGCAGAAGCCTTTAGTTCCGGTCGCTGAGCTAATGAAAAGCGGTTAAGTGGCGGCAAATCGCCACGCTTACCCGGAGGCGGCGGGGCTCGGCCCCACTCCCAAACGTCTCCCAGCTCGGCGAAGCCCGAACCTCCAGGGACAACGACGTGCGCAAGCCCTTCCAGAGTAACCTCCCCTCCGCGCATTTCAAACTCGGCGGGATCCCAGCCGGGGACCGCCGCCGGGCCTTCCCCGCGGCCTGCTCGCGCCCCGCCACTCGGCCCGAGTCCAGGCCCCACAGCTAGTTGGCATCAGGCCGCTTTCACGCGGTCAGAAGTTGCCCGCGGCGATCCGTGTCTGGTCGGAATGTCCCGCCCCTGGCGAAAAAGACGGGAAGAAAGTCGGAGACCAGGGGAGACAGAGGAGGGACGGAGGGGGAGGAAGACACCAAGAGGAGCGAGGAGGAGGAGGAGGAGAGAAAGACAGCACCCTAACAAGTGCGCAGAAGTGGAGAGAAAGAGGGGAAGGCGACACAGAGCCCGGACGAGGAAAGCCAAGAAACGGACCGGGAGCCGGGAGACACGGACAAGGAGGCAGCCAGAGCTGGGTGGCGGCCCCTCCGCCCAGTCCCGGGGCCTCCCCGCCCCCACTCCCCGGCCTCGGGAAAGCGGCCGCCTCCTCGGATCCCGCGGGAGACGCGGGGAAACGGTGGTTTCTTGGTTGAAGCATCCGGACCAGGTAGACCGCGGGGGTCCCTGGCCGCGCTGCCCGCGTCCGTGCCTCAGTTTACCCATCTGTAAATGTGGTGACGGAGGAGACCAGCGTTCCGGGTCTGACATTTGAGATTGTGGGTCCCGCCAGCAAGGCCTAGGCGGGTCCTGCATCGCCCCATCCTGTCCCCACAAGGCCGGAACCTCACCTCCCGACCCCAGGGTCCTCCAAACCCCAAAGCTTCGGAGCCGCCTCCTCCTTGAAGCCCACCCGGGTCTCAGTCTCCTATGGTCATTCTGGGAGAGGGGTTGGGGGCGGGGCTGCGGGCTCCTTGGCGGGGGCGGGGCGGTCGATGCGTGCGCATTACGGTCTCTAATCCATCACGTCGCCTGGTCGATAGCTTCGGACGTCTTCAAATATTGTTCAAATTGCAACTCCGGAGGAAAAGTGTTTTTTGTAACTGATCAGAAAAAAAAAAAAAAAAAACATATATAAGATAGCCGTGGAAAGAAAGACCCCCTCCCCCTCTCATCAGGTACTCAGGACCCCTGAGGGGTGGTGGAGACTTAAGGGTGAAACTGAGGCAAGGGAGGACTCCCGCCCCCACTCAGAGCAGATAGGATACTTTGCCCCTAAACAGAATTGGCCCATGGACTAAAAGAAGAGAGGAAGAAATGAGGAAAGGGAGGGAAGGAAGAAAAAAAAATAGAGAATTCATTTCTGGAACCGCTTAGCTGATGGAGGAGGGACAATAATGGCAGACTCTGGCTGGGTGGGGACAGGAGCTGGGGTCTTCAGGGGATGGGACAGGAACAAGAACTTAGACACACCCCCCAGGCTAGTACAGGCCTGTCGGTGGCCATCCCCCCCACTCTGCCACGTGCATTCACAAGGGCTGCATGGGGTGTCCAGTTCCACAGCCCCACTCGAGGGGTGACTGCCAGTCGCCCAACTATGCAACTCCTGCTTCTATAGAGACCAGTCACCTCTCTCAGACACCCATGAAAAGACAAACAGACCCAGCCTCCCTGGGTGACCAGGAGAACGTCCATCAGAGGAATGGGGTCCCCGGCTCTCCTGGGCCTGGGCCTGAGCTTTGGTTTCCTTGGCGACATTTCCTTGGTGATTCTTATCAACCCCTCCCCCACCAAGAGACTCACAGACCCAAAGCCACCTATCACACCCCCACATTCACCCCTCCTGGCTTCAGGGGGTGGCCCTGAGGGGCCCGGGGGTCTGCAGAGTTCACAGGAGGGACTGAGGCCTCCCGGGGACATATGAGGTGTGTGTGGGGGGAGACTGTTGAGGCCTGTGTGTGCTGGGCCCCATGGCGGGGGCTATCCAGGGTCCCCAAACCTCCCCACACACACTTCTAGACCTCAAGACTCCTGGTTGGGGCCAGCCCAGGATGGAAGATTCCAACTCCTCTACACACGGGGGACCACAAAAGAGGGGGCAGGCTGGGGTCTAACACCTTCTCCCCCACCTTCCCGCTCACCCTCCGCGGGTGAGTAACAGGCCAGTTACTGCCCCACTTTACAGACAGTCCAACTGAGGCTGCCAGAAAGGAAGGCTTTGCCCCAGCAGGGAGTGGAGCTGGGCTCCCAGCTCAGCCTTGCCTCTGTGAGGGGGAAGCTGCCTGTCCCCGTCCCCCCCCCCCCCCGCCCAGGCCACTGACCAACCTCCTGCTGGGATGGGGACAGTCCAGCAGGTGACACGTGAGGCTGGGAGGTCGGGTAGCTATGTGGGTGCAGAAAGCTAAGCCAGGGGCAGCAGGGTGAAGGTGGAGGCCTGAAAGGGCTCTTTCTGGTGACCTCTGGTGGGTGGACAAGACAGCCCACCTCACAAAAGCCAGACACAAAGGGGCTGCT